CAAAACTGTAACTCATTTAGCAGAAACATACACCAAATCTGACCCAAACCTGTAACTCATTTAGCAGAACCATACACCAAATCTGACCCAAACCTGTAACTCATTTAGCAGAACCATACACCAAATCTGACCCAAACCTGTAACTCATTTAGCAGAACCATACACCAAATCTGACCCAAACCTGTAACTCATTTAGCAGAACCATACACCAAATCTGACCCAAACCTGTAACTAAGTTAGCAGAACCATACACCAAATCTGACCCAAACCTGTAACTCATTTAGCAGAACCATACACCAAATCTGACCCAAACCTGTAACTCATTTAGCAGAACCAGACACCAAATCTGACCCAAACCTGTAACTCATTTAGCAGAACCATACACCACATCTGACCTAAACCTGTAAGTCATTTAACAGAACCAGACACCAAATCTGACCCAAACCTGTAACTAATTTAGCAGAACCATACACCAAATCTGACCCAAACCTGTAACTCATTTAGCAGAACCAGACACCAAATCTGACCCAAACCTGTAACTCATTTAGCAGAACCATACACCAAATCTGACCCAAACCTGTAACTCATTTAGCAGAACCATACACCACATCTGACCTAAACCTGTAACTAATTTAACAGAACCAGACACCAAATCTGCAATACTACTGGCACATGTTTTGCTTTACACTCAGATTGCAATTCTATAACAATTTGGCAAAACACAACACACAACGCTCTACCTTTGGCACAACCTTCACAACTAAAATATCTTCAAATCAAATCAAATTTAGCAGATGTTATAGCGGGTGTAGCGAAATGCTTGTGCTTCTAGCTCAAACAGTGCAGTAATATCTAACAAGTAATATCTAACAATTTCACAATTTCTTGTGTGCAAATGAAAAGCAAAACTGTTCAACAAGCTAAGCTCAATTACCAATTGATCGCTTTCACTCTTCACATGTGCAAACACTAATTGTGTAAATGTTCACTTTTAAATCAGACTTTTGGTATGGATAAAAAGGCTACAGGTGAATACTCCTGTTAGGAGAACAATGGAAGAAACTTAGCAGAGAGAGGTGGAGGTAGAGGTGGAGGTGGAGGTGGAGGTGGAGGTGGAGGTGGAGGTAGAGGTAGAGGTGGAGGTGGAGGTGGAGGTAGGGCTGGAGGTGGAGGTAGAGGTAGAGGTAGAGGTAGAGGTGGAGGTGGAGGTGGAGGTGGAGGTGGAGGTGGAGGTGGAGGTGGAGGTAGAGGTAGAGGTAGAGGTGGAGGTAGAGGTGGAGGTAGAGGTGGACCAAGAACAAGGAGAGTAATCTCTGATGAAATTTGGGCGACTGTGGTGGACCATGTGGTCAACCATGGTTTGACCTTGAGAGAGGCTGAGCAGAGAGTGCAGCCCATTCTGAGCCGCTTCATCGTAGCGTCCATTATCAGGACGTTCCAAAATGACAATAGGTATGTACTGCAGACATTAGACCTCTCTACTACTTTTACTACTTGACACTAGCACTACATAAAGCACAGTAAAGACTGTAGATTCCAATACATACTGTAAGGGGAAACAAAGTCAATGTTTCATGTATTACTGGATGGAGGAAACTGGGAGCGATACTACTTTGTAACATGTTTATGTTGTATACTGTATTACTGTAGTGTTTACTGCACTGTGTGCTATTTGGTTTTTGTACAAACTGAAAGACTAAATAGAACGTGTCTATTTACAGTCCAACAGGAGGCTGCCACTGTGCAAATGGTGGTTAAAAATAATGCCATAAGACTGCGGGAAATCAAACAACAGATTATTGAAAACCTTTCATAACATCAGTGAGTTTATCAACCATAGCCCGCATCCTTAAGAAACACAATTTCCGGATGAAGCAAATCTACGGAGTCCCATTTGAAAAGAATTCCCAAAAACTGAAGGATAAACGGTAGGAATATGTACAAGTAAGTAATGTACTAGTATTACACTCTTGAAACAGAGACTCATTGATGTTGCCAGTGAACTTTACTATTCAGCAATTACAGTATTTACTGTCATTTCAGAGACTTGTGGAGTTGGATGCAAGTCCCATCCCCCAGGAACTCATATTCATAGAGGAGGTTGGATTCAATTTGGTAAAGACGAGGAGGAGAGGAAGGAACCTCATTGGTCATCGAGCCGTCATTGGCCAGCGTGGGGGAAATGTCACCAGATGCCCAGCTATGAGCCACAATGGGGTCCTCCACCGCCATGCCACCCTTGGACAATACAACACTGACCATCTCCTTAATTTCCTGAACACCTTACAAGACAATCTTTTTCAGCCAGAGCAGAGAGGGCCAGGTGATCCTGAGCAGCAAATGGATGTTCTAATTTGGGACAACGTGAGTTTCCATCAGGCTGCTCAGGTCCACAACTGGTATCCATGACCATCCCAGGTTTACAGTTCTCTATCTCCCACCATATTCCCCAATTCTCAACCCCATTGAGGAGTTGTTTTCAGCATGGCGGTGGAAGGTGTATGATCCCAAACCCCATGAACGTATGGCCCTTCTCAAGGCAATGGAGGAGGCCTGTGGTGACATTCCAGCAGAGTCCTGTCAGGGGTGGATGCCAGAAGATATTTCCCCCGCTGTCTGGCCAAGGAGAATATCGCCTGTGATGTTGATGAAAATCTGTAGCTGGACCAAAACAACAGGCATGACTGATTTTGTTTTCGCAATGGAGTATTTGTTTCTTGACTTATGATTTTACTGTATTTTGACAGTTGATTTATCTATTCCGTACAATTGATCTAACATACAGTACTGTAGTACAAATAGGCCTATTTTTCATCCTTTGCATATGCAAAATATATTTACTGTATGTGTGCTTACAGTATGCTGTTTGACATGTATTGAGTCATGTTGAAATATAAAACTTTAATTTTTGCATTTGTGTTCCTTTCTTGTTTGAGTACACACAAACAATATACAGTATAACGACAAAATATTATTCTTTACACTGAAATAGGTTTTGATAGTATTGTTTTATGTCACAGTGTGATCTCAGTTGTCACCAAGTTAGATTCATTTGATGTGTGCGTCTCATTTATATGCAGTTCCATTTTGACATGGGAGTACTTGATTTTGATTGCTGTGCTTCATTTTGCAGGATGTCTGTGGGGTTTGGGGAAATTGGCTACCTGTTTTGTCTTTAGAGTTAAGAGTACCTGAGATGTAGTTTCAGCTGACGTGTTTTAATTGGGAAAAACCAATGCCCATGATTTGGAAATGAGATGTTCGACGAGCAGGTGTCCACATACTGTTGGTCGTGTAGTGTATATGCCTCATCAAAATTCTCTCTCGGAGATCTAGACAGTTCCTTAGACTTCCTGGTATAGTTTCTGTACTGCCAACTGTGGGACCTTATATAGACCGGTCTGTTCCTTTCTAAATCATGTCTAAACAATTGAAATTGGCCACAGGTGGACTCCGATCAAGTTGTAGTGACATCAAGGATGATCAAAGGAAAATGGTGCTCATTATGAAGTGTCACAGGTGTGAGAATACTTAGGTAAAGGAGATTTCTGTATTTCATTTTCAATATATTTGCAAAAAGGTCTAAAAACTTTTCACTTTGTCATAATGTGGTATTGGGTGTAGATGGGTGAGAAAAAGATCAAATTCAGGCTGTAACACAAAATGTGTATTAAGTCAAAGGGTATGAATACTTTCTGAAGGCACCGTATAACCATGGGCAAAACACATGAATAGTGAAGTGTCCACCATTTAAAAAAATAAATGTAATTTATTTTTGAAATTTTATTTTTAAGATGATTAAAATAATCACTGTATTTACACTTTTACAGTCAAACGTCGTTCATGAACAGGCAAAAAACAAAACAAAAAAAACAAGAAGAGCTCTCATAACTTAAGACCGCATCCGTTTCAAGTTCATGATTCAGGACATGAGTGGAAGAATCAAATAGCATTAAAACAAGGAAGGGGCATGCATTCCGTTACATCCATGATCTGTGCAGGTTAACACACCATGGTGAAGAGTGCTGTGGTGGTGAGAAAGAACTTGGCACTTCACAGAGAGGCCCAGAGCCAGTCAGTGTGCATCCAAAATGGCACCCTATTCCGGTTCAAAACGTGCACTATATAGGAAATAGGGTGCCTTTCTGGTCAAGTCTCAGTCTCATGTTAGTCGATTGAAGAATTGCACCGTCGCAAGACGTCGATCCACTTCAATGTGAAGTAGTCATTCCTGGTTTTGCAAAGAGAAAGGCTCCTTCCTCTCTTGTGTCTCAGTTGTGATGGGAGTACGGGAGTTGTCTGAATTGCTCAGTCCATCAATCCCCATAGAATAGAACATGGTTCCTGTCGGTGTGTGGAGCATTGTCTTGTCTTTAGTGTCTCTGGCTCCAGGTAACATTCAAGACACCGCTCTATCCGGCAGTAGTGGTGGCTTCCTCAGTGCTACATTGACTGATTGGTCAGCGAAGTTGTGATAGATAAGACTCAATGGCCTGGTGAGAGAGAGGAGAGAATGGTGAGAGACGTTGACTCAAATGTCAAATGTAATAATAATAATTATATAATAATTATTATAATAAGCCATTTAGCAGACGCTTTTATCCAAAGCGACTTACAGTCATGTGCGCATACATTTTTACGTATGGGTGGTCCCGGGGATCGAACCCACTACCCTGGCGTTACAAGCGCCATGCTCTACCAATTGAGCTACAGACCAGGGAAGGGCAACTGGCAGCCTGTTTTGTAGGCCCACGGATCATAACATTTTGCTCGCAAGGTGGGAGGGGTCTCCCCCCCCTCAACAAAATTGTAACTTGGGGCCCCTGAAAAGCTAGGGATCGCTCTGACTGCATGTGTGGATATGCTTACCTGCGAGCTACTGCGGCCCCTCATGATGAGTTCTGATCTTTTGTGGTCCCCACCCCCATATCTAGCCTCAATGGCCTGGAATGGACGAAGATAAAGGATCAATAACATGAAGGGTCGCAATGACACCTTACCTTTGCCATCTCTCCTGTACTTCCTGGAACTAAACTTAACCGGGGTCCTTCCTCCCATAATTCCTTCAGCTGCTGCTTCATCACTCGGAAGTTCCTGCAAAACAGACACAAGTCAAATTAGGTAGCAAAATCATGCACGGAGCCTTTCAATGTGCGCTGCCACTAAGACCCTAACTGTGCTGTCAGGAGAAAGAGTAAGTTGGTTAAATGTAATGTAAATGGTTAAGTAAACCAAACGTGGGAGCGAACAGCAAAATATGAAAACCTGTTAATATACCTGTCCTCTGAGCAGCTGTCCTGCAGGCTCTTGCTGTTTGCGGAGAGTTCTGGCCACCATTTCTTAATGACAGACTGAACCCAGCGCAGACCCACAATCAGGTGTCTGGAGAAGGGACAGAACTAAAATTAGCATTCAGGTGGATCCCACAGGTACTTCTTCAGTAGCAGCAACTACAGGTCGTTGCTGTAAATGAGAATTTGTTCTCAGTCAACTTACCTGGTAAAATAAAGGGTAAAATAAATAAATACAAAATTCCACAGTTTAACTCACTCTTCATATTTACTGGCGAGGATGGTTTTGACTTGTGGCAGGAGGTCTACACAACAGCCCAGTGATATGCACGGAGCTTCGTCTTGAAGGCTACGGGAGCAAAACGAGAGACAACATGAACACGCGTGTCACAAGTTGTCATCATCACAGCCAACCATTATAATGTTCAATTCAACTGTGACACTCACTTTTTCGTTATAACTGGTAGGCAGTCAAGAAGCACGCCTGTGTCTTCGATTCTACGGAACAAAGACAGTGTTTATTGGATATGAACGTGTTGATTAATCGTTAACAGTATATGGAGAGGAAGTCCTTCCAAACATGAAGATGGATGAGAAGTCAGCGTTCCTACCTGATCAAGTACGCCACTAGTTCGCTGGCGTTTCTTCGCCATAGTGTCAGAGCTACATTTAGCCGGAGATTCCTTCCAAAAAGCACACGTGTCATTGCATCATGATCCTTCGATAGCTGGTCAGGAAAGATTCCCACAAGGAGGGGGGCATTACAAAACATGTCAATAAAATCCACTTCAAAAGCTAAACGAACAAACAGAAAAAAACGCTTGCATGGTCTCAGAAAGAGAATAACATTGAGCGACACTTTTCTTCCCAATAAACAGGGTCTACGAATATATCCCTTGCATCTACCCACTGTGCAAGGATTGGAGAGGTATTGGCAATATGGTGACAATTCCAACCCTCTCAGATCCAAGAGCGCAGGGGCAAGGGTTTGATGTTGGGAATGGAAAGTATGTAGCGCAGCAGTGGTCCGTCCCAATGATCGCTCCCTACAGGTCTGCAAACATCAAAGGATCAGGGGGCCTATGGGACGGGGTAGGGAGTGAACTGGGGCTAGCTGGTAGTATCTCACCTCCGTGAAGTAATCACTGTACTTGTTTCCCGGCCCTGCCATCTTGGAGCCTGCTTCTGCCGCAGAGTTGACGGGGAAAACGCAGCAGTCATTGTAGTGTATGGCCTGCACTTCCTCTGAGCAGGTCAGTTCATTCTCCTTGTTGGCCATGTCACAGACAGCCCGACCTGCGGGGGGCGCTCTGCGGCGCACGCAGGAGCTCACCACGACGCCGTGACGCGACAACGAACACTTCCTCTTGTAGCACACAGACACTTGTTTCGCTTTGCCAGAGATGTGTGCACCGCGACTCACGGGAAATCTGTTGGGGAGAGAAGGAGGAGAGTCCAGCTGATAAAAAAGGTAAGGTTTTTGTCTTGATACAAGCACTGGTTAGTTAGGAAACTATGCTTCGGAAAAGATGGAAAGATGTTTCGACGGTTAGATTTCCCCCAGTAACTGAGCAGCTGTGACTGCAGTGCTAGGAAAGGCAGCTTGTGCATTGGATCCACACAGGTCCATGTGACAATCTCCTTCCTGGAAAACTCACCTCTCTTTATCTATTTCTTCCTTATTTAAAACATCCACCTAAAACAAAAGGATAGGTGATAAACACACAGTTTTCTTTTAAAGAGAAAATGTTTGACTACGGTTAGTAAACACTTCTTGGTTCATATTCATAACAGAATCACTGTATGCTCCCGACTCTCCACACTGTGTATTTACACGATCGCCATCATAGATTTAACACTGGTGAAAACTCCTCCTAGTCAACGCTTACATCAACCTAAGGCTTTTATTTCAATGACATGGAGTGTGCGCGTGCACACTGCGGGAGAAGTGTGGAGAATCGGGATGCAGTTGGGTACCAAGTTGTACACTTCCCCCCCTTGAGGTGCACTCACCTCCTTCATGTTCTTGTCAGCTGCAGAGTGGTCGCTGATGTGATGGAGAAATCCATGAGGTTTTCCCTGGTTGAGCGGTTGGAATTCCCTGCTTTGCCCTTCATGACTTCCAGAGGCCATAGTAAGAGACACTATTGGAGAGGAACAAACTTCGTCAACAGTATAAAAAAGGTATGTCATTCATAGTGCACAAACGTCATGCCAAATTGTCAAGCCAACCCCCTTAACCCAAAGTTGTCTGTGAACTGTCACCCACTCAAAAGATGGAGGTACACCACAAGACATACAGTGCATTGTTAAAAGTATTCAGACCCCTTGATTTCCCCCCCACATTTTGTTACGTTACAGCATTATTCTAAAATTGACAAAATAAAAAAAATCCATCAATCTACACACAATAACCCATAATGACAAGGCAAAAACAGGTTAGATATTTTTGCAAATGTATTAAAAATATAAAACTGAAATATGACATTTACATAAGTATTCAGACCCTTTACTCAGTACTTTGTTGAAGCACCTTTGGCAGCGATTACAGCCTCGAGTCTTCTTGGGTATGATGCGACAAGCTTGGCACACCTGTATTTGGGGATTTTCTCCCATTCCTCTCAAGCTCTGTCAGGTTGGATGGGGACCGTCGCTGCACAGCTATTTTCAGGCCTATCCAGAGATGTTACATAAGCAACACCCACCCGTAGTATGCGCTCCAGCAGGTTTATCTCACTGGTCATCCCCAAAGCCAACACCTCCTTTGGCCACCATTCCTTCCAGTTCTCTGCTGCCAAAGACTGGAACGAACTGCAAAAATCTCTGAAGCTGGAGACACTTATCTCCCTCACTAACTTTAAGCATCAGTTGTCAGAGCAGCTTACCGATCACTGCACCTGTACACAGCCCATCTGTAATTAGCCCACCCAACTACCTCATCCCCATATTGTTATTTATTTTGCTCATTTGCACCCCAGTATCTCTATTTGCACATCATCTTCTTCACATCTATCACTCCAGTGTTAATACTAAATTGTAAATTATTTTGCACTATGGCCTATTTATTGCCTTACCTCCATAACTTACTACATTTGCACACACTGTATATAGATTTTTTATTTTTCTATTGTTATTGACTGTACGTTTTTGTTTACCCCATATGTAACTCTGTTGTTGTTGTTGTTGTCGCACTGCTTTGCTTTATCTTGGCCAGGTCGCAGTTGTAAATGAGAACTTGTTCTCAACTGGCTTACCTGGTTAAATAAAGGTGAAATAATAAAATAATAAGGTTAAAGTCCGGGCCACTCAAGGACATTCAGAGACTTGTCCCGAAACCACTCCTGCGTTGTCTTGGCTGTGTGTTTAGGGTCATTGACCTGTTGGAAGGTGAACCTTCACCCCAGTCTGAGGTCCTGAGCGCTCTGGAGCAGGTTTTCATCAAGGATCTCTCTGTACTTTGCTCCGTTCATCTTTCCCTCGATCCTGACTAGTCTCCCAGTCCCTTCCGCTGGAAAACATCCCCACAGCATGATGCTGCCACCATGCTTCACCGTAGGGATGGTGCCAGGTTTCCTCCAGACATGACGCTTGGCATTCTTGGCCAAAGAGTTCAATTTTGGTTTCATCAGACCAGATATTCTTGTTTCTCATGGTCTGAGAGTCCTTTAGGTGCCTTTTGGCAAACTCCAAGCGGGCTGTCATGTGCCTTTTACTGAGGAGTGGCCACTACCATAAAGGCCTGATTGGTGGAGTGCTGCAGAGATGGTTGTCCTTCTGGAAGGTTCTCCCATCTCCACAGAGGAACTCTGGAGCTCTATCAGAGTGACCATTGGGTTCTTGGTCACCTCCCTGACCAAGGCCCTTCTCCACCGATTGCTCAGTTTGGCCGGGCGGCCAGCTCTAGGAAGAGTCTTGGTGGTTCCAAACTTCTTCCATTTAAGAATGGAGGCCACTGTGTTCTTGGGGACCTTCAATGCTGCAGAATTTTTTTTGGTACCCTTCCCCAGATCTGTGCCTGTCTCTGAGCTCTACAGACAATTCCTTCGACCTCGTGGCTTGGTTTTTGCTCTGACATGCACTGTCAACCTTGGGACTTTATATAGACAGGTGTGTGCCTTTCCAAATCATGTCCAATCAATTGAATTTACCACAGGTGGACTCCAATCAAGTTGTAGAAACATCTCAAGGATGATCAATAGAAACAGGACGCACCGGAGCTCAATTTCGAGTCTCATAGCAAAGGGTCTAAATACTAGTTTTTTTATAAAATGTTCTAAAATCTCTAAAAACCTGTTGTCACTTTGTTATTAAGGGGTAGTGTGTAGATTGATGAAATAAATAAAAAAATCAATTTTAGAATAAGGCTGTAACATAACAAGATGTGGAAAAAGGGAAGGGGTCTGAATACTTTCCGAATGCACTGCATAGCAGGAGTTGCGGTGATAATGAACGTCTGGTGTATGCTGTTCTTGTTTTGTCACGGGTTCACGACCTGGACACAAACCTCCTTATATTACAAGCTGCGTTTAGCTGATGAGAGTGCTACTACTAGTTCATATGACAACTATGATTCAACTAGCTACAGGGAAACAAGTTGGTCTAAATAAAAAAATGGCAGATTACAACATAATGTGCCTGTAACATTAAGCTAAGCTAGCATTGTTAACAAGCGCCTTCCAACAATGCACTAGTGTAGCTAGTGGTGCACGACTCTAGGATTTTTGGAGTCGACTCCGACTCCTGTGGTTGGAGTCACGCTTGCACGACTCCAACGACACGCTCAAAACAAATGCGCACACATGTAACATACTACCTCATTATTGCAGAGTCCTACTAGGAAGGCTACATTTGCATTCTAGAGGACTGACATGAGCATGGTGTTATCCATTTGCTCATCAACTTAGCCTATAAAAAGGCCTATTATGTTTGAATATAGGAACTAATATTTCAGTGCTATTTCTTCTGTGTGCAGCCTTGATGGATCCCATGGGATGATGTGGCGCACTCTACGCTGATATTCTTTGCCATGGTATTGCCCTATTCAGACGGGTATTACTAGAGATGTTGTTCGTTATTTTTATCCAAGCATGTGTGCTATTCCAGAGGATGATTCACACAGGATTAGTTTTTCCCCAAACTGCCCCCCAGTAATTCTTTATTTTTTTTCTTAGTTTAAATTGACTCTTGATGGAAGCCTGGAGGTTTTTATTCTAGGTGTGAAGATATGTCAACATCATGTCTAGGCGATAATAGGCTACACCGATAACTCGTGCTTGGCCGCCAAATGTAAAGGTGTCCCCATAATATTTCAATTGATGAAGTGTGATCATAATCAGTATTTTAGCGATCCATGGCAGATGTCCTTCCTAATAACAATGCCCCCCATCATGCTGATTAGAGCTGCTGAACCGTATTTGCAATTGAGATGTATTTATGGATGAGAAATTGAACTTGCCATTTCCAAAAAGTTTAGCGGGGGATGCCCTGCTTTGTGATCTATTACCTAGGGTAGGACTCTCCAACCCTTTACGTGGAGAGCTGCCATCCTGTAGGTTCACTCGAACCATAATCTTGCGCATCTGATTCAATAATTAGCTGGGGATAAACTGAATATGGTTTGTTACAACTGGGGTTGGAGCAAAAACCTTCAGGAAGCTAGCTCTTCAGGAATCGGGTTGGAGAGCTCTGACCTAGTAGGACATCAACAGCCAGCCAGGGTTTCATTAAATAAGCTATAGACAAAACTTTTTTATTGTACAGTTAGGTCTAATTAAACTGACGCATTGAAGAATAGCTTATCCATACTCAATGATAGCCTAATATATACACTTTTGGTGAATTTACGAGGCATTATAAGAAAAGACTTTGCAAGAAAACAGATTAAAAGAAATAGCCTATGCGCACATTGTGTCTGCCTGCCCCGATCCTCTCTCCCTCCTCACTATGAACAACTCTAGTGAGTCTTCGGTCTGTTGCGTGTAGAATAGCTCAGCCTACTTACTTATTGACAGCCCCTACTTAAGTGAATTTGCGCAAGACACTGCAAGCCAATAAATTGCGAGATACAGCATTGCAATAGCCTATTACCAACGCACGGTTCTGGCTGTCTGCTTGGTGGTCGAGATGCCTGCCTGGCCTCTTCTCTTTCTCCCTAGCTAGCTCTTTCTTTGCTGTGAAAGATCAGAGAGTTTGTTCTCGGAAGTAGCCTACGGCAACTAACGTTAGTTTCCTCCACAAAAATACTGAGTCGAGGACTAGCGGGATCGAAGCTTGATACCCAGAAATGGGAGACGACGGGCAAGCAGTTGAGGAATCGATTATTTTGAAGTAGACTAAGCATAGTTAGCTAGCTAACGACGAGGCGTTGGCTATGCTGGTCAACCACAACCCACGTACCTACTAGAAGCAAACAAACTAAATAGAAATGTTACAAAGCAGCACACATTGTAACATGATATCTTACCTAGTTAGCTAAGTACACATTTGCTAATTTGCTAGATAGCATTGCTAAATTGCTAACCTTGCCAGCCCACAGAGTACGAAGCAATGTGTGAACTAATGTCAGCTAGCAGCAAGCTCACTAGCTAGCTACCTTTCTAGCACAATGAGCTGCGATCACGCAGATAAGTAGTTATCTAACGAAATTAATGTAACTACGTGTCTAATGTTTTGATAGTAAAATGTCGCAATACTCAT